CTGATCCATCAGAAACCAATAAACACTCGGTAAAAACAGGTTCACAACAACTTTTAATTGCACATTCAACCTTGAAGGATAGCACTTTGAACAGTGTACCACACACACACACACACACATATATGTATATATACATTTATATATTTATTTATATTTCATCTTTCTCCTCTCTCCTCGTAGCCTCTCTCCCAGCATGCTTGGCTCCTACCGGCTAATGAGTCGCAGTCGTCGGTTGTTCCGCTTCTAATTTAAATATTGATGGAATGATTTTTAATTGAAGCTCCTTTAATTGAAGCTGTCATTTCCAATTATGATGTAAGATGCGTGAGAAGCCTCTCACCCAGGAAACTCCATTCATTTATTCTTTCATCAGCCACCTCCTCAAGACGCTCCATTTCTCTGCCTTTAGATCTCGGCGTATTTGAGTCGTCTCCTTCCAGCCTCGTTCCTCTCCCCCGCGGTGAGAGACTCCTTCTGTTCATGGATGGTGACAGAGAATACGACTGCTTCCGTCTCTGCTTCATCCTAAATATACGCTCATATGTCTCCTATTTCTTCCCAGGTCGTGATCATGTGATAATGTGAAGATGAATGAATGAGTAAGTCATTTTTAGAAAAGTATTCAGTATTTAAAAGTATGCACAATGCCACCATAAATAGCATTTATTTTACTACAATTAATCACAGGGTAGCTGTGGATTCACTACGATAAAAACATGATGAAACGTGATTGTAAATAATCATGATTAATCCTGATCACCCATCGTTGTAAGTTGTCACGATTAATCGTGATTAATTGAGATAAATCAACATTCCTTAATATGACAAAAACACTTTTCTTGTCTTTTCTTGGCGTCTCACTCCAATGGATATTTTATGTGCTTGTTTTTTTGTGTTCCATGTTCTCTGGAATCACATCATCAGTTTCACACAGGCCTCATTTAAAATCCTGCAGCTGCCGTTGCACACCACCATTTAGTTCCGTTGGCTGCGGTGAATAAGGATAATTAGCTATTGTTCAACATGAGAGCTAATACTTAATGAACATGTCTGGTGTTTTTCATCAGGATCACTGCCTCGTTTGCCCCGCGGTCCTTTTGTTCCGGGCTGTTTTGATGTGGTTCCCTCTGCTCTGGGTTCCGTCAGGCTCTCTGGCTGAGGCAGAAACACATGGTTGGTTTCTTTTCTTCTCCTTCCATTACTGCTGGGCAGTCTCAGTGTACCAGGCTTTCCCTGACACAGAAAGATAGCACAGCAGAAGATGATGAATGAGGCTGTTGAGAGAGCTGTTCGTTTCCGCCACACACGGTTTGACTGTCTCACGGCGGGGAAAGAGGAACGAGGCACTAAAGGAAAGTTAACTGAGTTTACACTAGCTCTGTCTGAGTGTAATTGAATCCTCCTTCAGAGAGCAGCCGTTTTTAACTGGATCAGCTTCTGAGGAAAGTGTACTGTTGCTGCTGCTGCTGCTGCTGCTGCTGCTGCTGTTGCCGTTGCCATACCGTGTTTTCACAAACACAATCACAAGGCTGGATAGGTTTAAAGGCGATGTCCGTGCGTTCCGTGTTCGAGGCTGTGTTCAAATTATCAAAAGACTTCATGCAATTCTGATTAAACCGATGCATAATCCACAAGTACTTGTGTCTTGCGTCTGACATGAATACTCAGAAGCTGGAGAATCAGGATTAAGCACTAATTGGAAATTTTAAATGTAAATAAAGGATAATGCTCTGTTATCAAAGAGGATATCAACATCTTTGAACATCCAAATCCAAAATGTTATTTTTTACAATACAAATTTTGTCATAACATGACAGGATGGTTTTAGAAACTACATGGAAATGAAGTACCTTTTAAGTACCAGCGACTACTTTAGGTACTTTACTCTGGATCAGTGGTCCTCAAGTGGCGGCCCGTGAGCCCGATGTGGTCAACGAGTTGAACAGGTTTTCCTGTCTTCCACGTGTTTGGGTTTTGGTTAGCACATATTAATGGGCTGCAATTTTTTTCTAAAACGGTTTTGTCCATTTCCTATAAACCATTTGTGATTTATTTTGTTTCGATCTCTCAGATAAGGTTTTTACTCCGAGGCTAACTATTAGTTTACAATCTTAGACACATTCTCTTGCTGATAACCACCAGACCACATGTGTTTCAAAGTGCTGTGATGGTTGAGACCGTCCTGTTCCAGCTGTGTTTAACAGTCTAATATCAGGACATAATAAGGTTTTTCACACTGAGACAATCCCCTTGAAGTTTGATCCGGCTGCGGGGTTTGGAGGCTGGGAGGGTTGTGTGTGTGAGGGGGAGAGCGATGTGACAGAAAGAAAGGAGGAAGAGGCAGAACGGAGAGAGAAAGCTCTGAATGATAATATATGAGCTGTCTGCGGCGCTGCACGGTGGTTGGGAAGGGGAGCAGCGGTGCATTTTAAAAGGAGATTATCATGTCAAGATACAGTAATACCTCACTGAACACTCATTTTCATTTGAGTCAGATACGTAACGCGCTCTGGCTGCGATCCATCACGCACAGGCTGGGCTTTAAACAAAAACAACGGACAGCTGACGGTACGATGAAGGGGTGAAACACCTGTAGAGTAAAATAAATTATAACATAACATAAAATATATGTAAATGTCTGATGCAAACACACCCATCCTCAGAGTGACATGTTAGTGAATAAACCCTTCTTTAGGTTCTCGAGGATACCATTATATACTGTATATATATATATATGTATATGTCTATATATATGGATGTATATTTGTATACATTTACATATATACATACAATATATATATATACATATATAGATGTATTTATGTATATAAGTATGCAATATACAGTACATAAATACATCTATAAATGTATACATACTGTATATAAGTATGCAATATATATATACATATATGTATCATACATATATGTATATATGTGTATATATATATTGCATACTTGTATACATAAATACATCTATATATATACATATATACATATATGTATCATACATATATGTATATATAGAGATGTATTTATGTATATAAGTATGCATACCTAACGTATACATATGTGTATTGTTGTGAAAATACATAACATTTATAACATATATTCCACCATATATAATGTTTACTGATAGATAAACCCCAGGTTCTGTGTGGCCCTCACAATAATCCCGTGGCTACATTTGTTGCGTATTAGCAGTTGTTTCTGTCCTCTGGCCTCCAGGGGGGGTTTTGTTTTGATATTTTGTGCTCAATATTATTTTCTTCTGTTCTCTGTTCTCTAAACCTATTACAGACATTTCCTGAGCCCGCAGGCTAATTCCTTCCCTGCTCCTTTTCCCTCTCTGCTCCTGCTCTCGCCAGTGCCAGTGTTGGTGAGTCAGTTCGCTGGGCTGCATCCAGTCAAATTATTCACACACATTTAGACCGACAGTCCATTTAGAGTCCCTAATTAGCCCGCACCCAATCTGCACCTATTTGGACTGGTGGTACACACAGGAAGATTACACTCCGAGCGCTACTGAACATGCAATTAACTGTATGTCCAAAGTTTAATTGATATTTAAAAAAAAAAAAAAAGCCATTAGTCAAAGTCATTAGGATATGGAAATTTAAAATCCATGTTTGTCAGGTGAGCACTTTGCTTAAACTGTACAATGTTCAGAGCTGACACCTGGGTCGACAACACGCAGACACATCTGTTTCTGCTGAGTCAGCTCTGTCTGACCTCATTAGTAAAAGTTATCTGATCTGAACAGTGTTTTCAGTCATTTATGATCTCACAGAGAAGTTGATTTCACTCGTTTGATTGAATTTAACAACGCGTCACATCGTCAGAACACGGTAGCCGAGGTGTAACAGCTTGACAAGGCTTTGGTGAAGTGCAGTGTTTAAAGGAGGTAATAATTGTTTTGGACCGCAGTCAGATGAAAGTTTGGCCTGAAGCCAATCCTGGTCTTTGATGTTTGTTAAAGAACTCATTTAACCCTGATGAAGGTTTCTCCTCAGAAAAGATTAAACTGAAAACTCCCACAGAAACTCACACACGTGCAGTGAGCAGCAGTTGTTGAAGGGCTTCAATGTCAGGGAAACTACGACACGACAGTCAGAGGTTTTGAGCAACAGAATTGCATTGCAGCCAAAAAAAACCAAGTAAATAAATAAAAAGATCCGACATTCTATTTCATAAACTCACAAGTAGCTACAATTTTTTTCTAAATGTTGTATTAATTGTGCATGGTATGTTTCAGATTTATTCAATTGAAAATGTAAACGTGAAAATATGAATTTTTCCCGTGTACCACTAGAGAGCGCTCGTGTACCACTGGTGGTACGTGTACCACAGTTTGAGAACCACTGAACAGCGAGTCTCATTGATATTACGAATAACTAGTCTGCCTGTTTTGTCAGAACTGTTCATTCTGAGCTAATATTTTATTTAACATTAATTATAAAGTTTCAACACAGATGAGATAAAAAAACAAACCTACTGGGTCAATGCTAGTCAAACATAGAGTCATTTCAGTGGGTGAAATCTCGTCTCTTCTGCTGCAACAATCAGCTGAGGACCAATTAGATCAGCGGGCTCCAGCTGAAACATCATGAACGTCTAATCACATTCACCTGCAACCAATCACTGACAAAACTGCAGAGGAAAAACAGGGGAAGGAGTTAGGGGTCGTAGCCAAATTGTTAAAATTCAAATGGTTGCAGAAAAGATAAGGGACTTTTTTCCCCTCATGATTACAGGTTGGAAATCCCACCGTTTGAGGTCAGTCAACATGGTGAGTTGGCACCAAACATATGTTGAAAAAATGAATCACATTTAATAAAAATGTTGGGGTTTTTGTATTTTTGAGTAACGGAAACTGATTAGCAACTAATCGTGTTTGTTTGTTTAACTGTTAAACCGTAGGCTGGAGCCAATCCCAACGAGGGCGGGTCAGAGTTCACAGTTCACCAGTCCATCACAGAGACACTCACTTTCATCAGAAATGTGGGACAGGGACTTGGTCTCCATGAGGACAACTGGACCTGACAAGGTCAGTGTTTATACCTGACAGGGTTTTAAAGAGGGCTCTCTCTCTCTCTCCCTCTCCCTCTCCCTCTCGTTCTCTCTCTCTCTCTCACACACACACTCACACTTGTGTCCCTCTGTTGCTGAGGGGAAAGCAGCTGCAGTTCTCCTGCTGGTAGAACAGTCCACCCCTGCCACAGGAAATGATTTGGTACATCCCACCGGAGCCTCTCTGGTTTTGGTTTTGTCACTGACTCAGTATAATCACAGCTGCAGTCTCATTCACACACACACACACACACACAGCACAAGACCCTGGCAGAGAAACCACAGTCAGGACATTAAAGAGAGAGAGAGAGAGAGAGAGAGAGGAAGAGAGGAACAGAATCTTCATCCATACCATCTTCTCTCCAAACAGACTGCTGGTGGCGCTGCATCCCTGGTATGACCCTGTTCAGCCCTAGATGTAAGTATCCCAGTTGGTCTCTGTGTGTTTTGAATGTTGGCATGCAGTACTGTGTCTCTGAAAGGCAAAGTATTTCTCTGTGTCTATTTTTTTTTATTCTCCTCGACGGTGACCTGTGATTATAAACAACCTTTATCTCCTCACATTCAGCTGCATCAGATAATCTCAGTACTTCAGACTCTGGTTTTCCTTGTACTTGTGCCTCAGGTACATCATGATGCATGTGGTCCTGTCCAGTTGGCAAGGTCAGCACTCTGTGTGTGTGAGCTCAGTGGTCAGTGAGGTAGAAACAGCCAGTGGCTGAGTTCAGCTCTGCAGTTTTGGGGAAAGCACATATATATATATTTTCTGATTTTCTGACGATGATATTAAACTTATCGGATCTCATCACACCTTCATCACGAGTGAGTTCACCAGCTCAGCTGCACGTCATCCGTCGGCTACAGTTGGATTCTGGGAACAAAACTCTTTCTTCTCAACCTGGGTTTTCACTGCCAGGAGACAGAAGGTGTCAAATCATATGAACCCATCACCTTTGGACTGAACCGTGTCTTTAAAGCAAAGAGAATATGATTGAACTCATTTATTCAAAAAGAGGGTTTTTGTGCATTTCTCTTTGACAATTTGTCAAATATTGTACAGAGCACAGAGATGGAAGTATAAATCTCTGTATACTTTCATCCTCATCTCTAATAATTTAAAATACACAAAGCAAACAGTCAGACTTCAGATGCACAGCTTGAGCATTTACAATTATCAAAAAGTGCACTTTAATTTAGCCGTCAGTCAGGACTAATAAGAAGTATTTTGTTTGTACAAAGCACTTAGGCATAAATGGGGCATAAATGTTCAGTAAAAATTTAAAAACAAGTTAGTCAAATTAAAATCATTTTTTGGATTTCATGTCTGTATTTTCTGTCCCAGAACTGTGTGAGAGTTCTGTGGTTTTTCTTCTTTCTCGATGGTCCTTTTTTTTCATGGTCCTTCTGCTCTACATCAGACTAATTTATGTCCTAAAATTGGCCTTGGTACTTCTGTTTATTACATGGTCCCAGCAGTGAAAACTAATACTGTCAAGTACTTTTTCCAGTACTAAAAGCACTCGTCATCTACTTTTTCCCTTGATAAAAAAAAAAAAAAAATCTATTCCTGAGAAAAGGGTCTCGCTAATTAAATAAATGTGATGATATTCCACGTAGCAGCTGTTGATCAAGAGCTAAAGAAGTTGTGGGTTTGATTCCACAGTCTGTTAGTCTATATGCTGATGTGTCCCTGGGCACGACACGTGAAGGTGAATCTGTGTACAGTACAGTACAGTACAGTACAGTACAGTACGTAACTCGTCGTCTGTTTCCAAACTGTCAGGGAGGAGGAGAGTGAACGTCCGTGTGTTCAGATGGCTTTTCACACATTTAATTAATTGTACTTTACAGTCATTTGACAGTGTTGCCGTGTTGAGTGTATGTGCAGCTGGACCAGACACACTCCAGTCAACATCCATCTGCCCATGTCAGAGTCCTCTCCTCTGTCCTCTCCTTACCTTTCTCTCTTGTCTTCTGGGCCAGGTTTATCACATATATAGAGCCAAACATACATATACTGTATTTCAGGTCTAAAAGATTACAAGTTAAGTTAGTTCAAGTCAGGACAAATAAAACTGTCCTGACTTGACATAGAGAGACAAACCATCAGTCCAATCAGTCAGTGTGGGATAAAGGCAGAGAAACAGGAGAGTCTCCACACAGAAGGACTGGGATCAAACCTTGAACCTTTTTGCTGTAAGGCAAAGAGCACCACTCACCTTGTGGCCTTTGTTGTTGTTCTGTGGTTAAAATGAAAGTCAAAAATCCATTTAAAAAACAAACAAACAATTGTCTCTAATATGTTTAGCCTCCCCAGCTTGAACCACCTGCGTATTCCCCTTTTTTTGTCTGTCTTTTGTGCTGCTGCCTCGTGTCCTGCTGCTCCTTATTGTATTGTCCCACAGTTAATCTGTTGCCCTTTTGTGCAGACACGAGCATGAGTGGAGAGCTCAAGTCCAGCCGCTCCAGGGCAGCGAGTAAGAGGTCCAGCAACACCACTTATGGGTAAGTGTGGACCACATACACACACACACACACACACACACACACACACCACCTGACCTGCACCACTCACAGATAATCATGTCTTCTTATTTGCTGCAGCTCCAGGGCAGCGAGTAAGAGGTCCAGCAACACCACTTATGGGTAAGTGTGGACCACCTCATTATTACCCTGATAGAAGTGGCGTTTGCATTGATTTTAGCCCGCGGTGCCGTCTCCATCACTCGATGTTTTAATCCATCTGTTGATGCAGCGTTCACATATGATTGGAGCTGATTACTGTTTATTGCTGCTGGTTCAATACGGAGCCGAGGAGCTGCGCCAACGTCAGCCGTGTGTTGGTGAGAGACACGGGCGTGCGGGCTGGTTTATATTCATCAATGCCTTCATTATTTTCACCTCCTTGAACTGCATCCTATAATCCAGGCACAGCTCAGGAGGTTTTAATGAGCGTGAAGCAAAAAAGATATCAGAGTGGAAACTTCACCTGCTGCCAGAAACACAACACCACGTCTCTAATGTTACAGTCTGGGTCGCAGCACCAAGTTGAACACACTTTGTATTGGCTGGAACCTTTAGTTGGAACAGGTTTTTGGGACTTTTTTGATTAAAGTCCTTATCTGAAGCTTTGATCCCAAACAGTAGATAACTGAGCTGCAAGTTTTCTTTTTTTTTTCCCAACGTCTCACGTCATCTTCCGAACATTGGGTACATTTGGATTTGCAGTCACGATGTTGTCAGTCAGTGTGAGGGGTGCGGGCAGCGCAGGGGAAGTTCAAGAAAAATAAAAAATATTATTTAGAAAAGGTATTTTGGCTACTTAAAAAACAACAGTCCATTCAGCCATTGTTATTTATACAGACTGCTGGAAAAACATTTTTTTCACTTAGCTTAAAATACCATCTCAACACTCAGCAGGTCTGTGTGGAGTCTTCAACGTGTCTGTTTTCTTCCAGAATTATACAGTTCTTTTATTCCCTAAATCTTCCAGAATTATACAGTTCTTTTATTTTGTGTGTGTTATTTAGTCATGTTGATTAATCATGATTAATCAGATTGAGGATGTTTAATCATTTGAAATCCCTAAAAAAACAAGAGTTTTTCATTGACAAGTCGTGACAGAAGGAGAGACAAAGTGAAAGTGGAGCAGCTGTGAGACCTGCTATGATGTATGGTTTGGTGACAATAGAAAACTGGAGTTAAAGGTGCTGTGAGTTTCATTTGGTAGGATAAAAAACATAGACCTGATCAGAGGAACAGCTTCTCTGAACAGTCTGAACAAAGTGGATGCTTTGGAGGCAAAAAAAAGTAAGGATAAAATGCGGGGATGTAAAACTGCAGAACATGTCAGTGGGTCAAGATGGAGGCAGATGATCTGTGGTGAGCCGTAAAGAGAGGCGACAACAGAGGAGGTAGAACCAGCGACCATAAGCATTTCCTCTGCCGTGCTCACAACTGGAATGCACAAATGAGATGTCACAAAACAGAGAGTGGAGGCGAAAATGTTGAGATTTATTGGAACTCTAGAAACATATGTTGAGTGTATACTGTGTATATATAAAACAGAGAGGTTTGCAGAAAATGTTGAGATTTATTGGAACTCTAGAAACATATGTTGAGTGTATACTGTATATATATATATAGTATTTGTGTGTGTATGTGTGTGTGTGTGTGTGCAGAGAAGTAAAAATGAATTTTCTGTGAATGGCTGCAATTCTAGCACTTTTTGCTGACAGTGGAGGAGAGAAATGCTGATATTTAGCCAACATCGTTTGGAGGCACTTTACAGACACATGCAGGTTATGCTGAAAAATGCAGAAAAGAAAATGGAAATAAATCTAAATGAGACAAGCGATTATCACGCCAACGTATTCTTTGTGAACATCATCAGATATAAACTGATTATTAAAACTGCAGCAGAAAGGAATGCTGGGAAAATGGATCATTGTAGAGTTTTATATTGTGGCTGTTGCTGAGGTTTTTTTGTTGTTGTCATGGATTTATCTATTTGTTTTATTGTCTGCATTTGTATCTTGTTTCTGTGGAGCCTTGTTGCTAATTTGGAGTTAACGATTTTGTTTTCCAACAAAGTAGCAGTGGAAGGAGGACGTGCTGTGTGAACCGTGTGGACTGTGATTGGTTAAAGCTTCTTAGAGTAGAGATAAGGCCGCGGACGGAGGTCGGAGGAGGTGTGGACGTTTCTATAAGAAGTAGAGTAATTATCATACTTTTCTAGAAGACACGCCGGAGTAATTATAAAATGACCTGTAGGGGAGGCAGTGATACGGTTATCTGGGAGTCGTACGGTGCAGAACAATTATTCTATCTTAGCAAAGTTTCAATATAATTGTTTCAGGAGGAGCTGCAGAAGCACCAGCTTCTTTTCCACACAGTGTACAAATAGTTTCTGCTAAGAGGAGCTGCGAAGTGTTACATTTTCTCTTAAAGAAGGCGCTAAAGCAATGCCTCCTCTCTCAGTGGAGATCGGAAGTTACACCCAAACAGAGGAGGTGCAGAACCGATTACTCTCCGCCAAGATGTGGAGGTATTATTACCCCTCAGAGGCAGGACAGAGGAGACACTGCACACCAGGAGAGGAGCAAACGCTTCCTCGGCTGCCAAGTCTTACGTCTCCCACTAAAGGTAGAAGAATTGAATTTGCCAATTTTTTTTTTGGTGATTGGACGAGACGTATTGTCACGCTAGAGGAACCTACCCGTTCCTCTCGTCGGCAGATGTACTGAAGTGAGGTTTTGTATAAAGGGTAAAAGAAAGGGAGAACAATTTTCTTTTCAAAGGGAAACTTTTATTTCAAAGGCAGTGATCTCTCACAGAGTGTTGACATTCTTAGAGGAGCTGAAGAATCACACCTTCCTTCCAAGGTGAAAGAGTCTGTGAAGCAGAGGTGGAGAAGAATAGTTCTACCTCAGAAAAGGTTGGAGGCAGTAGTACTGTTTCCTGTGTTCTGCTCGTGAAGGATCATGAGTATTGTTATCTCCCCCAGAAGACGTGCAGCAACAGACTACACCTTTAACTGTACAGCCAGGGGTATAAATACTGCGCTATGAAAGAATACTGTATACTCCGTGTACTCGGCGTGTCCTTCAGGGACAGCTAATCTGGCCCAGCTCCAGTCCCTCTGCTGCACCGCGTCTACATGAAACTCTAAACCAACCAGTGTTATTTGTCCGATCCTACATGAAGATCCTTCATGACTGTATGACGTGTGTTTATAAACATATGGTTCAGATACAGAGACCACCCGAGACGCCAGGTCTGGCAAAAATAGAACAGCCGCAGACCCTGTCCCAACAATCATCCTATATGACGGTGGATTTTTCACATAATTCTTCGACTGTTGATACAGAAGAAATTTGATACAAATATGTTTCAGTTCAACTTAACAATTTGATTTTGCTGCCCCCGTCACCCCACGTCTATTTGTTATGTGTTATTATTATACCGTAAGGTGGTACAGAGAAATGCTATGAAGCGTGGTTTGGTAAACTGTAGCTGTCTCAAATCACAAGAGCTGCCACTAGGGGGTGCACGGATTAAAATACATAAAAAACCGTGTGTATAAGTCAGACAACTACCAAATAAATAAAAATAAAATCTCTCTAAGTCCAGAGTTCAATAATGCTGCGTTAAGTTGCTGTCAGACGCCGGGCCTCCTGCGGTTCATCCATCCTCCCACTCCTCGTCACTGAAAACTACAGCCTGTGGTGGAGATTACTCAGTTGGGAACATTTTTTTCCCACTGCTTAGAAAACAGAATAATCAGTTAACATCACATCGAGCAAGAATCATTCTGGCTGTCTGGTGTCGGCAATTCTGAGAAAGTTGGCATCTTCTCTCAGTCACTTCCTGTCTTGAGATAAGTGATGCATCACCGTCTCCTCCTGCTGCGTCCTGTTGGGTTTTTGTTGTTGTTGTTGTTGTTGTTGCTCTACATCAACCCCGGCAACATGAGGGTTTTGTCATTTGTCTTTTGTTCTTCCTGACTGTCACAGATTTCCTGTAGTTTGGTGAGTCCCAGCTGGAGAGAGAGAGAGAGAGAGAGGATGCATTTGTTTTACTGCCCAGATGCTGCTGCTGCCACAGCCTCTTCACGCTCCAGTGCTCAATATGATAGTTCATTGCAGCGTGTGGCCTTTATGTGTCCCAGGTGTGTGTATTTCCTCATGTGTGCATAAAATTAGGCGTGGTTAACAAGCCAGTGGGCAGATTTAGTCCGCTGGCCTGGAAAGAGCAGTGGACGCAGAAGTGTCTGATGCAGGAAGCACCTGTGATCTTCAGAATGGCAATGAAGGAACGACCTTGGACAAACTTGAGGTGATTAACTGCGACAGAGAACACGGATGAGCTCATAGCCACAGAACTGGATTGGTCTCGCTGTTGGTGCGATGCGGCGTCAGGGTGAACGTTGTGGTTGACGTACGTCGTACGTTCTGCGTCGCAGTGCGATCGTTCCCCAGAATCCAACCGTCAGTTTCCACCTCGGCTGACTCTGCTCACAGACGTTGTTTCTCACTTCCTGAACGGCAATATTATGAACTGTGATAATGATGTTCAGGACAAAGTCATCAAAATGAATTAAGTTTATCATTGAAACTCTAAAAAATTTTTTGAGAGAGACGGCAAATTAAGTTTATCATTGAAACTCTAAAAAAAAAAACCTTTTCTCCTGTGAATAATGTTTCAAGAGAAAAAGCACTCATCAGATCTTGGTATTTATTGAATTTTGACAGAGACGGCAACATTTTTTTTAGGTTTTTCTAGGAACGTAAAACTAGAAATGGAGATGAGAAAAATATAGTTTTGTTCCAGTTTTGGGGGTTAGTGAAAGCTGATCACCTGTATGTTCCTGTAACTACAGTTACAGCCTCTGTAAAAGGTCACTGGCTGAATCCCAGACTAATAAACCGATGACCTTTGTTTGTGAGGTCAGCAGGTTATACACTGACGTCTGCATGGTGGTTTTTTTAGGGTTCTTGGCTGAC